GGAGTCTGTACACCAGTATAAGAAGCAGAAAATCACAGTAATTAATGGTTTGTTGTATTTTTTCTTATCTATGCTGAGGATGTACTTAGTTATTCAAGCTTTTTTTAGCTTTTTATTTCTTTCGGTTTTAATAAAATTTTAGAGTCTGATTTTAATTGTTTTCTCCTTTGAATTAGGTTATTCCATTTCCTATCTCTCTACTATCTAATATTGTCGAGTATTTATTTTCTTAGTGTTATTTGGCATATTGTATTTTCAAAGATCACTGAAACAATACTTCTCAACCCATATGCTCTGCTACAATGAGGCTCTTGCTACACTTCCATCAAGAGATGGAGTCTAATTCCCCAACTCTTGAATGTAAAAGGGCTTGTGACTGCTTTGACCAGTAGGGTATTGTGGGAAGTTACACCATGATTCTCCTGAAATTGGGTCAGAAAAAAATTATACAAGGTCCATCAGATGCTCTTACCACACTCTGGAAAAGTTTAGGTAAAAAAAATCCAACTACCCTGAGTTTACCACATTGGACAGGCCACACACAGGAGCTTGGGGTGACAGTTCCAGCTCACTCCTGCCAAGGCACCTGCCCTGTGAGTGAAGTTCTCTCAGACCTGCCAGTGCAGCCCATCCACAACTGAGTACCCNCTGACTGTCTTTTAATTTTTCATTATATATATTTTTTATTCTAGTTTTCTTTATTTTGTTACCTTGCAACCTTTTAATTTTTTAAAGTTTTCTTTCCATCAGTGTTTTCTTGTATTTTAATAATTGTTTCTGTTTTCTTTTATTATTTCTAATTATAAATCTAGTTTTAAGTGTTCTAATTTTACCGTCTCATCACTGAGAAGCAACCGGCTATAGTTATGTAATAAAGAGCGTGAACTTTGGTAAGTAAATTAGACAGGTAAGCCTGGTTAATGGTCACTTAGTTATTAGACCTCCCTAAGTATCCTTTTCTATACCCTGGGATATTAAGACTTACCAATCAGGCACCATGTGAATGACATCTCCTGGAATTGTGTAATATGATCTTATAATCACACACACAAAAGCATACAAATAAAACCAACTACATAGGCAGGTATATGAATATAAAAGCATTTAAATGTGTGAAGGAAAATACATTGAACATTGAGCTTGTAGGAAGGAGAACAAAATTTCATTTGCTACTTTTAAAATTTTATGTAGTTTTGGGCCGGCCCTGTGGCGCACTCGGGAGAGTGCTGCACTTGGGTGCACAGTGGCGCTCCCATTGCGGGTTCGGATGCTATATAGGGATGGCCGGTGCGTTCACTGGCTGAGCACGGTGTGGGCGACACAAAGCCAAGGGTTGCGATCCCCTTACCGGTCACAAAAAAGGACAAAAAAAAAAATTTATGTAGTTTTAATGTATGTATGATAAGCATAATTACTTTATACAGTTGGCCTTCTGTA